GTATTAAATATATATTTGTTTATATACATCTAAATATTTTTTTTATAAATAATTTAAATTGAGATACAATTTTAATGATAATATAATTTTAGATAAAATATATATTTAAAAAACAAAACAAAAGATAAAACATTGACCCTAACATATTAGAGCTGTTGTCCTGATGCTTGAGATAAAATACACAAAAAATATAAATAAATAAATACACAAACAAACAAACAAATAAATTCAATTGTGTGTGTGTGTGTGTGTGTGTATTGACATGTACAGGCATACGACAATAAGTGTATTTAACCGGTTGTTTGTAACCTTCTAATGGCCTTTCGCTCTACTTGTGCTGAGGTACGGCAGGCTGTGACAGAGCTTGACCTTACAAACACACACGTTTAACCTCCCAGCAGAGTTATTAGCCTAGCGTTTGTGTCTGTCAAACAGTGCGGCGTGTGGCCTCAGGCGCTCAACATCTGCCTGGCTACGGGGTCACGCTGGGTAATAGTTCAGTCACATTAGCCCAAGCAATGCAACATGCAAACCAGAAAATGTAGCAAACTAACGGAAGATGCATGGTTAGGAGAGCAAAATAAAGAGCAGATATACAATAAAATATATCTACAATTTAAATTGTGAAGTAATTACGCATCATGATTTAAAAAATCTAATTTTTGGTACTGTAATGCAAAATATTTAAATTTTACATTAGTAAGTAATCATGCATCACGGTAGTAATTCATGCAAAATAAAATTATAATTTCCATTACTGTAATACAATATATATTTAAAAATTTAATTGGAATTTATGTTAAAAAAAAAAAAAAAAAATCTAATTCTCATTACTGTAACACAATACATATGTAACATTTAAACTGTGAAATAAATATATATTATGGTAGTAATTTATGTAAAAAAAATCTCATTTTCATTTCTGTAATATAATATATATTTAAAATTTAAATTGTGAAATAATTATGCATCATAGTAGTAATTTATATAACATTTTTATACATTTTCATGACTGTAATACAATATATCTTTTAAATTTAAATGGTGAGAATTGTGCATTATGGTAGTAATTTATCTAAAAAAAATCTACATTCAATTACTGTAATATAATATGCATTTAAATTGTGAAATAATCATGTATCATAGTAGTATTTTATGTTTTAAAAAAAAACTCTAATTTTCATTTTTGTACTACAATATATATTTACTAGGGCTGCCCGGCCTCGACTAAAGATTTTTCTGGTGGACTTAGTAGTCGTTAATTTGAAGCATTAGTCGACTAATCACACGTTTATTAATAAACCATTTAATTCATAATAATGATCCTTTAATTGCCTACACTGCATAATAAGCTCTCAAGCGCATGCATAAAGCTTGCCACAGCACACCGGCAGAAGTAATGATTATGAATGTGTCAGTGAAAAACAGTAAAGAGGCTGCATTAACATTTAAATAATTCACTGATAAACTAGTGCTTTCTTTGTTTCGGTTTAAGACATGAAGTTGGCGACACTGACTCATCATCTCCGCAGTAGTGATGCACCTGTATGCATGTTTCATACGAATTACATAATCTGAGAATATTTGTCTTCCATTTGAATTGGTTTATTTGAAAGTAGACATTTCACTCTCAGAGTTTCTGAGTTTTGCGCTCAAGTTCACAGAGACCGAGACGGCAGAAAGCGCATCCTGTTTGCTTTCATTATTTTACAAAAGCACAATGTTTTGTTGTTTTGTGAGTGCACACAAATAAACGTAGAGTCTTTGCAGATTTAAAAGATGTATTACTCTTATCTGTATGACCAAACATGAGGGGTATTTTAAGAGCAAGTGAGCGCACCAGCGCCTCCATCTGTTCGCAGTGAACGCACTACTCTTCACACTCCACACATACACTGTAGCGCACATTTCTCTAGGTTAACATCAGATTGAGCGGCCATGTAAAGTTGCTAATACTTACATATTTCAGATGATAAGCCATATTTGTGGTGGATGAATGATAGACGAGCGTCTATATGGTTGTACTGTATTACCACATAGACCAGCCCTTAACGATCTGTGTGACTTCGCCAATGTGGATTTTTATTTATTTTTCCGCGGCTAAGCGACTAATAAAATTTTGGTCAATCAAGCCTCTTTTGGTCGTCTAATGGTTAGTCGACTATTAGGGGGCAGCCCTAATATTTACAAATTAAATTGTGAAAATTATGCATTATGGTAGTAATATATTTTTGGTAGTAAAATAATTTTAATTACTGTAAAACTATATATTTAAAATTTAAATTGTAAAGTAATTATACATTTTGGTAGTAATTTATATTTAAAAAATTGTCATTACTGTAATATATATATATATATATATATTTAAAATTTAAATAGTGAAAAAAGCATCATGGTAGTAATTTATGTTTAAAATCTCATTTTAATTATGTAATACAATATATATTTAAAATTTATTAAAGTAATCATGCATCATGGTAGTAATTAATGTTAAAAAAAAATCTAATTTTCATTACCGCCTTAAAAATGCAGTGATGACTAATGAACAGACTAGCACTGGCGATGACGGCAGCTAGAAACCATCATAAACCTCAGAGTCTCTTCTGAACAGTTAAAGTCCTTCATTTCCATCCAGGAGTGAATGTTGATGTCAATGGATGAATTAATGGCAGATATTCAATGAGAAGGGATGAAATGGGTTCAGATGGGTTTTGATTGGCCGCATATACGCTAATGTGAAGAAAGGAGGGCTGTGATTGGACGATCAGGTACCTGTTTTGCGGATAGCTGCGTCTGCTGTGCAGGTGTAGTCGCTGGCGGCCAGCAGGAAGCAGGTTCCTTCGGTGTGACGGTCCTGTTCTCGAGCGCTGGAGAGCCGCATGGGTATCCGCTCCTCCGGAGACATGGTGATGTCACTTCCTGCGCTGCAGTCGGCAGACAGCACTGGTGGGAAACGGTGAGAAATGACAGCTGCTTATTTGGGACGCAGACCGGCTAGAGACGGAGGTGAGAGGTCAAACCTAGGACGGAAATAGGAGCGAAACTAGGTCGAACAAGTGAGTCATCAGAAGATAGTGGGACCAAACTAATGATCCCCACGAGGAAAACAGCTTAAAAAGATCCTGAATAATGTATTCATGAAAATATAACAACACAGACAGACATCTGTGAGGGAGGAGACAGGATTAAAATAATAGTCAATGGGAAATTATGCATCGCTAGGTTTTGGAATAGAGCTCGAAAGCGAGATCGTTAAATGTACAATAAATAAAATATGCATTTACATGTGCATTTTTGCACTTCTCAATTGATTACAGTGTTATTTTAATATTCATACTATTATAATATTTTTTAAATATTTTAATTAGCTTTTATTTTTATATTTTCAGGTTGCATGAATTTCAGTCATTTTGTTTTGCCCTTTTAAATTATTTTTTTATTATTATTTTTGTTGCAAAATAATATAATATTTATTTGGGCTTTAATTTATTATTTAATTTATTATTTTTAATTTATTTATTTTTATTAAACTTAAGTTAGTTCAGTTAGTTATTTCAGCCAAGGCAGTTAAAAATAACTACAATTAAAAATAATTCTTGCTTCAATTTATTTTTGCCATTTTTATTAGTTTTTTAATAATATTATAATATTTAAGAATATTTATTTTGGCTTTAATTTATTTTTATTGCAGTATTTCAAATTAACCTTAAGATAGTTACTTAAGTTAGTTATTCCATTTAATTGCCAAGGCAGTTTTTAAAATAATAATAATAATAATAATAATTAGTTTTTGCTTAATTTTTATTTCAGTTTTAGTTTTAGTAATTTT